GTTTCAATGTCACTTTATGGCCATTGTACTTGAAACATATCACCAAGTTGTATAGCTAGTTTCTATGTCACTTTATGGCCATTGTATTTGAAAACTGTCACCAGTTGTACTGCTAGTTTCTATGTCGCTTTATGGCCATTGTACTTGAAAAATATCACCAGTTGTATAGCTAGTTTCTATGTTACTTTATGGCCATTGTAGTAGAAACACATCACCAGTTGTATAGCTAGCTTCTATGTTACTTTATTGCCATTGTGCTTGAAACATATCACCAGTTGTATAGCTAGTTTCAATGTTACTTTATTTATGGCCATTGTATTTGAAAAATAACACCAGTTGTACAGCTAGTTTCTATGTCGCTTTATGGCCATTGTACTTGAATAATATCAGCAGTTGTACTGCTAGTTTCTATGTTACTTTATGGCCATTGTGATTGAAAAAACACCAGTTGTATAGCTAGTTTCTATGTTACTTTATGGCCATTGTAGTTGAAACACATCAACAGTTGTATAGCTAGTTTCAATGTTACTTCATGGACATTGCACTTGATAAATATCACCACTTGTAAAACTAGTTTCTATGTTACTTGATGGCCATTGTACTTGAAAAATATCACCAGTTGTACAGCTAGTTTCGATGTTACTTGATGGCCATTGTACTTGAAAAATATCACCAGTTGTACAGCTAGTTTCGATGTCGCTTTATGGCCATTGTACTTGAAACTATCACCAGTTGTATAGCTAGTTTCTATGTTGCTTTATGGCCGTTGTACTTGAAACATATCACGAGGTGTATAGCTAGTTTCTGTGTTACTTTATGGGCCATTGTACTTGAAAAATATCACCAGTTGTATAGCTAGTTCTATGTTACTTTATTTATGGCCATTGTACTTGAAACATATCACCAGTTGTATAGCTAGCCTCTATGTTACTTTATAGCCATTGTACTTGAAACATATCACCAGTTGTACTGCTAGTTTCTATGTTCCTTTATGGCCATTGTACTTGAAAAAGATCACCAGTTGTAAAGCTAGTTTCTATGTTACTTTATGGCCATTGTACTTGAAAAATATCACCACTTGTATAACTAGTTTCTATGTTACTTGATGGCCATTGTACTTGAAAAATATCACCAGTTGTACAGCTAGTTTCTATGTCGCTTTATGGCCATTGTACTTGAACAAATATCACCAGTTGTATAGCTAGTGTCTATGTCGCTTTATGGCCATTGTACTTGACAAAAAATTACCAGTTGTATAGCAAATTTCAATGTTACTTGATGGCCATTGTACTTGAAACATACCACCAGTTGTATAGACAATTTCTATGTTACTTTATGGCCATTGTACTTGAAAAAATATCACCAGTTGTATAGCTAGTTTCTATGTTACTTTATGGCCATTGTACTTGAAAAAATATCACCAGTTGTACCGCTGGTTTCTATGTTACGTCATGGCCATTGTATTTGAAAAATATCACCAGTTGTACTGCTAGTTTCTATATTACTTTATGGCCATTGTACTTGAAAAATATCACCAGTTGTATAGCTAGTTTCTATGTTACTTTATGACCACTGTACTTGAAACATATCGGCAGTTGTATAGCTAGTTTCTATGTTACTTTATGGCCATTGCACTTGAACACATATCACAAGCTGTATAGCTAGTTTCAATGTTACTTCATGGACATTGCACTTGATAAATATCACCAGTTGTACAGCTAGTTTCTATGTTACTTTATGGCCATTGTACTTGAAAAATATCACCACTTGTAAAACTAGTTTATATGTTACTTGATGGCCATTGTACTTGAAAAATATCACCAGTTGTACAGCTAGTTTCGATGTCGCTTTATGGCCATTGTACTTGAAACTATCACCAGTTGTATAGCTAGTTTCTATGTTGCTTTATGGCCGTTGTACTTGAAACATATCACGAGGTGTATAGCTAGTTTCTGTGTTACTTTATGGGCCATTGTACTTGAAAAAAACAGCAGTTGTATAGCTAGTTTCTATGTTGCTTTATGGCCATTGTACTTGAAAAATATCACCAGTTGTACAGCTAGTTTCTATGTTACTTTATGGCCATCGTATTTGAAAAATATCACCAGTTGTACAGCTAGTTTCTATGTCGCTTTATGGCCATTGTACTTGAACAAATATCACCAGTTGTACTGCTAGTTTCTATATTACTTTATGGCCATTGTGATTGAACAATATCACCAGTTGTACAGCTAGTTTCTATGTTGCTTTATGGCCATTCTACTTGAAACAAATCACCAGTTGTATAGCTAGTTTCTATTTTACTTTATGGCCATTGTACTTGAAACACATCACCAAGTTGTATAGCTAGTTTCTATGTTACTTTATGGCCATTGTGATTGAAAAAACACCAGTTGTATAGCTAGTTTCTATGTTACTTTATGGCCATTGTAGTAGAAACACATCACCAGTTGTATAGCTAGTTTCTATGTTGTACTTGAACAATATCACCAGCTGTACAGCTAGTTCAATGTTACTTTCTGGCCACTGTACTTGAACAATATCACCAGTTGTATAGCTAGTTTCTATATTACTTTATGGCCATTGTACTTGACAAACATATTACCAGTTGTATAGCTAGTTTCTATGTTACTTTATGGCCGTTGTACTTGAAACATCTCACCAGTTGTATAGCTAGTTTCTATGTTAATTTATTGGCATTGCACTTGAAAAATCTCACTAGTTGTATAGCTAGTTTCTATGTTACTTTATGGCCGTTGTACTTGAAACATATCACCAGTTGTATAGCCAATTTCTATGTTACTTTATGGCCATTGTACTTGAAAAAATATCACCAGTTGTACCGCTGGTTTCTATGTTACGTCATGGCCATTGTATTTGAACAAATATCACCAGTTGTATAGCTAATTTCAATGTTACTTGATGGCCATTGTACTTGACAAATATCACCAGTTGTACAGCTAGTTTCTATGTTGTTTTTATGGCCGTTGTACTTGAAAAATATCACCAGTTGTACAGCTGGTTTCTATGTTACTTTATGGCCATCGTATTTGAAAAATATCACCAGTTGTACAGCTGGTTTCTATGTTACTTTATGGCCATCGTATTTGAAAAATATCACCAGTTGTACTGCTAGTTTCTATGTCGCTTTATGGCCATTGTACTTGAACAAATATCACCAGTTGTATAGCTAATTTCAATGTTACTTGATGGCCATTGTACTTGACAAATATCACCAGTTGTACAGCTAGTTTCTATGTTGTTTTTATGGCCGTTGTATTGAAAAACATGGTCAAAAACATCACCAGTTGCATAGCTAGTTTCTATGTTACTTTATTGCCATTGTACTTGAAACATATCACCAAGTTGTATAGCTAGTTTCTATGTTACTTTATGGCCATTGTACTTGAAAAAGGGGTTCACGACCTTAAAGATAGAATTACACAAATTCCTATTGGCACGAGCACATCAAACATGATCAACCACATCCCATTGATCAAAAAAAAACACGGTCATCTAAAGGCCGTGCTCCTAGTGTCTATGTTACTTCATGGCTATTATACTATAATCTATATTTTTTTTAAACAGCTAGTTTCTATGTTACTCTATGGCTATTATCTATTACAGTATGCTATATTATTATCTATTATCTTTATTTTATGGCTAGGTTCTAAAACCGTTTATACCAACAAGCGATGCACATCCAAAGCACCCGCCTTGGTTTGCAGCGTCTTGTAGTGGAGTCCTGGGGTCGAAGCGGAACTGTGACAGGAACTTGTTGGACCTGTCAGGTCTTCTACAACTGGTTGGCTAGTTGGGGTGATGAGATTCCAAACCACCAATCACCAATCAGTTTTTTATAATCCCAAAATCATCGTGGCTAATGATTATCCTTATGTTCCTGGTTGGTGGTACCCTCTGGTAATTTGTTACATACCTATGGAAAGATCCACCATTGTTCATGGGAAATTTCACATGAAAAAATGTGATTTTCCATAGTTATGTAACAAATTACCGGAGGGTAACCATCTTGAAAAATATGAGTTCGTCAATGGGAAGGATGACATCCCATATATGAAATAAAAATTAAAAGCTATGTTCCAAACCACCAACCAGACAATGGTGTATATACTGCATATAACTATTACTATATATATATATATAATTATATAATGATATATCATCTAACTATTGGTTAAAAAAACATATGTGTACATATAATTATATATATATATATATAAACATGTAAAACTGTAAAACTATTATATAAACAATATTATGATGATATATGATATATGTATCTCTCATATAAAGATAAATGACACAAGTCCACTAGCATTGAACAACATTTAAATACGTACATTTAATGTAATCAAACACATTCAATCGATCTTCAATAAATGGGCTTCAACTACGAGGAGTCTTCATCTCGCTGATACTGGTGAAGCTTTGTCCCTCCCCGGTCCGGAGAGACTTCAGCCGCAAGACCGACGCCGACGTCTGAAATGGCCTGCCGTTTTGGGGCCAGGACACAGAAAATGATGACACACTTAAACATATCACAAGATTGTCACAGATTGTATGTTATATTCTCAGATTATCAAGAAAAAAAACATGCTTGCCATCCAAGTGCTTCAGGAAGAACCCATACCCTGGCTCCACAAAGACATGCCCCACAAACCAAACATGGTGCACCAACAGAATAATTAGATTATTTTTTGGCATGGTTGCTCCTTGTATATATCATCTTACCAACATTTCGCTCCAATCACTCCCCTGCTCCTTTCAACAAAAACATCGCCTTCCATTCCCGTTGATATTGACGCATAAGCCTTTCCCATCGCCCCAATTTTTTCTGAGAGCAATCTTTGGCTTCTAAAATTTGAAGGTTTCCTAAGATAGGGCCACCCCCAAAGTCATCTGATCATCCAAGTCATCGAACCATTGATACATTTTAAGAAAGCCATGAGATTTTTGGGGATTCCATGGGATTCCCCATGTTAGGAAACCCCCATGTCCATCCTGCGGCTTAGGTAAACCTCCGCCAGCTGCAGCCCCCGGGCTGGTGCAGGGCCCAGCCCGAGCTGCTGCTTCTGCTTCCGCTTCGCGGACCGCGAAGCGGATGGCGCCAGCAGTCGGCGGTAGCCAGCCGCCGTGGCGCCGGGACGGTGCCGGCCGGCGAGAACCAGCGCGAAGACCTGAAAATCAGGCGGGAAGTCACCAGAAAGTGGGGGGAAAACGAGAAATTGTTCATGTGACAATTACCTCTGGTTGTACTATTTTTGACATTATTTTTGACTTAGATCTCTGTGTCCAAGGGAATATGCAAAGATAACCCCTGAACTCTTGGAACCGCTGCTAGACTTCTTAGTGACTTCATGAGAGAAGGGCGAGAGAAGGGCGCCGATAAAACCAAACAAGTCAACCAAAAATCTTCACAAGCAAAATGCTAGAGACTATGTAGCGCACCATCCGGTACAAGAAGCTCTCTCCCAAGATGCTGACACACAGCAACTCCGGCAAAGTATTTGTTGCAGCCGCCACCTTCTCCACTCCAACATGCAAAATCCGTCTGGTGGCATTCCGTTGCAAACCTTGCAAGGGATCGAGCCTGGAAATGTACAAGAAGGCTTCAAGCCCTACAACCCTACAATCATTCATGTGAGAAATCAAGTGAAAAGGATTGAAAAGGTGATATAAACAAATTCTATTCCCATCCAAATTACCCAAGTTCCGAAACCTACAGTAATCAAGTTCAACTTTGGGGCCACGAAGGAAGCAAATCAGCCTTCCCTGTCCCAGACACCATGTTGGCTGGTGAAGGTGTGAAAGTCATGCTCACCAACAAATGCCCCAGCTGACTCCTGCATGGCAGACACATTCAGAACCTCCTTCAAATGCCAAGGCTGACAATCTTCAGAGCCGTCGTGGCTACATTCGGGTGCACGTCCGCCATGTGTAATGAAGTATTCGTAGCGTTTCCGCTCCTGGGCTTCAGATGAGAGGGTCACAGGATGTCACAGGTGACAGGCGCCCTGTCTGTTTTTCTGGGGATGGATCAAGGCTTTCTCCAAACGATGCGCCAATTTCAGCATAACTAGTGGCATGGGAATCATGGGAAGGGAATCTGCCATAACCAGCTCTCAGTGCTGCCGCGTCTCCGTCATGGCATCGCACACCATACCTCTGGAGGGCCACCGCACCCGAAACTTCTGCGGCAGTGGTCGCAAGTCGCACAGGCGGAGTCCAAATCCTAGCTGGTGACTTGAAGTGGGACTGTGGAACCATCATGTTTCATCATTAATCATTGTCTTTCATCTAGAAGAATCATTATCATCTGGTTGGTGGTTTCAACCCCTCTTAAAAATATTAGACAGTTGGGAATATTCTTCCCAATATATGGAAAAATAAAAAATGTTCCAAACCACCAACCAGTCATTGTCAATCATCAATCATCATCAATCATCATCAATCATCTATAATCATTATGATCACCCCCATCCCAGGTCAGGTGGAACATAGAAAAATGGGGGAACAACAAGTCTGTGAAGAAACACACGTTTTGGAAACAGTCAGAAGTCAGATGAAGTTCCAACGGACAGCTGAGGAGACTGAGGGGTAACAAATCAAAATAGTATATATGTTTGGGTGTTGTTGGAGGACAGTTCTTTTGCTCAAGATCAGGTAGCGTCATCCTGGAACATCTTTCATATTCAAAGCCTAACACTTGGCCGGGACATGGAAGCGGTTTCATGCAGTTTCCCAACAAGCTTCATTTCTCTTGGTGAAGTTTTTGGCGCGGGCATGGCCATACGACCACCCAACTCCACGACCTATTCCTGCCGGGTATCCGTTCTCCCTGAGCCAAGTGTTTGTGTCATTCACCATCTTGTCGCTCCAGGGTCTGAAGTTCTCAACTGGCAAGGCCTGCATGAATCCTCACATGGTCAGATGAGAATGTCAGTGTTCAACTGCGAAGTGAGTGTTGGAACACCTCTATCGGAGAAACTCATTCCTGTATATTCCTGTCACCATTTTCCACGCCCTGGGCCCTGCCAAAGCTCCTACGCCATAATTCATCCGTGCGCTGACGCCTTTGTCCGTGCGACTCGCCAAGCAAATGTAGTTTGGATGCGGCAACACGGCATCCAGTGCTACCTCCAGAAGACCCTCAACGGTAGCGTTGGGCTGCCCGGCTTGTACTGGATCGTTACCTCTGGGCTGCTTGGAGGGGCTCCAACTGGACTTTCACGGAGGCAAGGCTTCGATAAGGATATCACCGATTTCATCGCCAGTCGGGCCTCTTCTCAGTCTTACTCCAATTCCACCCCTTGGATTATTGGATCTGCCCAACAAAAATGTGCATGATATGGGGATGGGTCAAAACCCTGGTACCTAGTGAACCCCAAAATAGCTGGGATTTATGGATGTTCATCCCCCTAAAAATAGTATTAATAGGTATTGATCCATACCCATATCTGGATCCGGCACCAATGATCCAAGCTGCGATTGTAGCAGGATCCCTTGCTGAAGGAGCCATCATAGGACACCAGGACCAAACAGTTCAAGGTCGCCTCATTCGGCGTCGCCAAGGACACCCTTGGTGCTACAGCCCTGGTTGCAAGGTTCGGAGGGCGCGGCAGCTGCCGGAAACCACTAAGCAAAGCCAAGCACAGCATGGGGGCGGTGTATCCTGGAGTAAAAAACTTGGGAAATCATCCATGGTTAGTAACGGCTAGTTAGTTGTTGGCACCGTTTTTTTTTAACATATCAGTTTATTGAATGTTAAAATCATCCACAGCCAGTTATCGCCTCAAAACGGTGGTCCAATCATTCCTGTAGCTTTCATGGTACAACTGGACAGTTCACTTGGCGTGTTGATTTTTTCCAGCTTCAGAGCGAGAAGTGTGAGATTCATCCTGCATGACAAATCACTGTGAATATCACTAATATCATTTACGAGTGGGGGTGAGCCATAACAAATGATGATGAATATCCAGAGCGCCTGGTTGCTGTTTACTTTAAACAATACGCCAAGCGAACCTGAAGTTCATCATGGAGCAGTACTGAGCTTGAGTCTTTTGAGCCAAACGGGCAGTGTCATGAGCTCAAAACTCGATGTAACCAGTGCTTCGACGTGGAAAGAAAAACACATTTACACCAAACACGCCAAAGCAATCCTTTCTTTCTAGCCAGTGGTTTTCCCATCAGAGTCACGGAGGTATAGATATAGAAAAAGAAATCATTAGAAAGATCTTAGAACCACAATACACATTCATTTCCAGAATAGTCATAGTTGGAACCTTGGAACAGTAAGCCTACAATATCCTACAATAATATTTCATACATTTTCATACACATCTATTTTTGGAAGACTTGCAACCACCATCACCAATCATACCCTGCCGGCCCTGCGCCTGCCCCAGCCTGGAGACGGGCTTCACCAGGCTGCCAGCCACGCCCAAACCAACCTGTGGCAGTTCAACCTGTCATCCCAGGGTCCCAGAAAGACGAGTGATATTTTCTCAATCTGATTGAAGCGTTCATTATATATATATAACTTATATATTACACACACATATATATATATATATTACACACATATATATATAACTTATATATATATAACTTGAGATAATTGCAATGATCTATTTCTCCAGTAGGACAATGAAATGACATATAAACCATGTTAAACTAGTCAATACAAGTAGGATAAATATCTGGTTTACCACACCAAAATTTCCCAAGACTCAGCTGGGAAGTCAGGATTTACTGGGATGACCTCCAAAGAAACGTTCATTGTTTTGGTTAGCGTCAACAAAAGTAAGTTGGGATTCGATAAGCTGGCCATCACAAGCAAGGACCGACAAAAACACAAAGATTAGGCCACTCAGACAATAAAAATAAGGGAGCCACTTGAATGTGGAAGTCAGTGGACGATAAAAAACAGGGAATTCAACGATGTCTATGCCCGGGCTTCGCAGATGAATTTGCGGTTGAGTGAATGCAGACTCCTTTTGAATGTGAAGGCAAGCTATAAGTTAGCTAGCATTGCACATAGATCAAAACCTTTTGGTAGGGGATAGTCATCCACGATCAGACTGCTTGGGCCTTGGGCATGTTTATGCTGACGCCTGGTTTACCGTACGTGCGTTTTTGTTTTTTTTGGCCGATGGGGTGGGGTGGGTTGGGGTGGGGTGGGGTGGGCTAATAACGTTCAATGGCACACATACGTGATGCTACGCTACCAGTCTCTTCTCTTGCACTTGCACACATAGCTGATGCTACGCTACCGACCTCATCTCTTGCACTTGCACACATTCGTGATGCTACGCTACCCGTCTCTTCTCTTGCACTCCCACACATTGCTGTGCCAGAAAAAACCGAAAAGTCCGTTTTTTTTGTTCTCTCCCTGTGGCGAAACGCAAATCCATCAAAAAACAAAGCATCCTGAAACAGCCTCTTTCTACTCCTGGCGTTCACAAAAGCGTGCAAATACAAGTGAAAAATGATGAAAAAATAAAACACAATGGAATTAGCCACATTTTCTGACCAATCATGATGATGATTGCTTCAAAAGTCCTGCAAATACCAAAAGATAAACATGAAGGTCATCATAAAGACTCTTAAGAAAATGCCAAAACACACGCGCGGTAAACCAGGCGCCGGGATGTTTATCTACTGAAATTCCCCTAATTCTTGCACACGTCTCATCCTAACAATCAAGTCGTCTAAGCTTCCCAGCTCCAGCAAAGAAGCCACCGATCCCACTACTGCGGGCCTCATCAACGGCTGGGACCGGCTGGGATTCAAATCGCCCCCAAGTGGTCATTGTTTAAGCATTGGGTTTACCACATTACCCAATTTCAAAACAACCGCTTGAGGATGGTGTATGGCATTGGCCATAAACCATCTGGTTCTTCAACATAGCCATGAAAAATGGTCCACTTGTGGATGAGTTACCTATATATCTATATATATATATGTATATTTAACATTATTTACCTATAAAAAATGGAGATTTTCCATAGCTATGTTCAATAACCACAGGTTACGATGAAAGTTCTATTGCAGAATCTCAGGTGCCAGCGCCCTGCACAGGCTTTTTCACCTTGGCCGTCCAGCATGGACCAGTAAATTTCGGGTGGATCTCCCGTGTTTTTTTTCAACCAGCGTGAGCGAATCTGTTTTTTTTAGTTATTGGTCATGTCTACAAAGGGAAACCAATGGTTTTGGGGTCCCAATTAGCAAGGAGGTGTCTGTGTGCATGTTTCATTGGAGATTTCGATAGATTTCGTCTTTTCAGCTTCGCATTTCACTGCGTGTTCATGCAGCATAAATGAATTCAATTGTTAGATGTGTAAACATATGTCAGTTTGAATATGTTTGAATGCTGCCACAGAACAAGAAATGCATTTTCGGCGCGTTTACCGGTAACATCACATCTATATAATGGCAAGTAACTATGTGCGACAAAACAAAACATAGTCTATAATATAATTAGATATGGTGTCACAATGTGATACTTGCGTGGCCCAAGCATGGAACCAATGGTGGCAAACAACACATGCAGAACGCAGGAAGCGGTAAACATGCAACCGTTTGCAAAAACCATGCTGAACATGCGACTTCCTCAAGCTGTGGATGGGACAACATCGAGCAAACCTTCCACCTTGGTTGTGTCAAGTGGGCGGTTGGATCAAAATCTACAAAGACATCACTGCAGGAAAACACATCTACCTCTCTCTCTCTCTTGTTGCTATTTAACGTCACTATCACATACTGATCCTACTGTTGCCGTCGGGCTGGCCGCTCTTCATCACTTTACTTCCACAGCAAAGGTGCAGCAGCTTCAGGACCATTTGCTATGACATTGTGTGACGGTCAATCCCTGTCCCTTGTTATCAGCTCCAATCATTGATGTGGGTTAAAGTGGTTTTGAAGTTCCTGATCCTCAGCCTACAACTTGGAAGGTTGCACGGTTTAGTGTCTCTTCACCACCAAACGTTTTGCCAGATTTTTCAGTTTTCTGCTATGATGAAGTATCCAATGTTGGGACTGCCCACCGGCGGCCCAAAGCCAATCTTACTTGGCCAGCCTTTATTCAGGGAGCTGATGGTCAAGCAAACCAGTAACTCTCTTGGTAGCAAACCTAAAAAGATCCAACAAAAACTCAAACACACATCTGTACCAGGAACCCACATGCACTAGAAGCTTGACACCCGTTAGATTATGTAAAGTTGATTAAGGTTGATCAGACCATTTCACTTCCTGTCTGGCTTTCAGGTACCTTTTATCCCATTTTTTCTGCCCAAATGGCATGCCAAGGCACACCCTGTGCGATCGACTTTCCAGCCTCCACCATTCCATCGCCGATCCTGCGCTCCACTGTGAATCAAACCAGCAGTCGGATGTGATTTGAGCAGGACCTTTGAAATTATCATATTTATGATATATAGTCCAAGTATCAGTGCTATAATATTGATCATCTATTTCAATGGTTCATATACCCATATATACCCATTGAGAATGGTGATTTTCCAAAGCACACTGTACAATTCATGTATGAAGGCAACTGCGCACTGGCAAGGTGCCAACCATGCGATTTCTGGCTACTTGGGGGTCCACTTGTGATCCGTGGATAATAACTAGTTACATGAATCATGAGGGTCATCTGGTCATCCATGATATTGTTACTACATGGATCATAAGGGATATTACATGGATCATATTATGATAACTGGGCATGTTGTTATGATGTAGATCCATGAATATCCCCAGTTACATGTGGGTCATCCCGAACAACGCAGTGGGCATAGTGGGCCGTAGCCCTGCCCCTGGAATCTGAGGTCGGAACCCTCTGATCTGTTTGACTCCTTGCTGCTGCCTCTGTCGCGCAACGAATTCCTGCACATCAGGGGACCCAGGGGACCCAGGGGTCATTTTAACGAGGCCAGCTGTGGCCTGGATTAAGCCTTGGATGGATAAGGCATCCAACCCAAAGGAACCCAAAGGCAGTGCTCCAATCATTCTCTGGCTATGGAAGGTGGGACATGGTGGGACATGAAACTGAGTAGAACCAACGAGCATCCAATAGCATCAAAAAACAGTACATGTTGTAATATTGCATGGTAATGCATGCTACTGCATCACAGTGATACCCCGTTCGTTGGCAGCCACGCATATCCAGTCCAATGTTTGGAAAATATATGGCAATGTTTGGAATACACCATGTAATGGATTGATTGAAGGGAACAACTAAAGGAAACCAGAATTTTTGGCCCCACATATTCCTAAATGTAAAGGTCTTTTTCCTGGTAGCCACCTGGCTACGGATCGAAACTAGTAAAATCATGTAAAATCCAATTCTATCCAAATCCCAAATCATATAAATCATGTTAGAAAAGCAGGCATAAACATCCATAAACCATCCATAAACACTCCATAGTTTGATGGTCACCGTGGTCCAAAAAAAAGTGGTTTCCTCATCAAAGGTGAGCTCGTTCAACAGCGCCGCCGCTTCGCCCGCCGCCAGGCCTAGGTCCGGGTCCGTTTCACGCAGTGGCACAGTGTCTTTGAAAGGAAAATTTGGGGATTCTCAATGGATTGGTTTAAGGGAAAATCTACAGGAAAGCCCCATATTTAATGGGAAAATCTATGGTTTCCTGTAAATTTTCCC